AACACAGTGGCTTCATAACGTCTGCTAAGCACAAACAGTGGCATACTTGGCATTCAGTATTTGCTGAAGCCTAAGCATACACTTCTTAACAGTGCATCAGCTTAGGTCCCTGTCCCAAACACTGGTGCTTTAAAAACATACAAGCAGCCACACTGAAAGAGATCAAAACAATATCTGGCCAGTGTTCCAATCCCACTTGCCAATCAGATCTTCAGCTTAGAATGTCTACAAGAAGATAAGAATGGAACAGCACCTCTGCCACTGGCAATACAAAATAATGCTCCTTCTGATACTGGAGGTTACATATATCCGTTATGATGGCAACCACTGACAGACTCATCACCTGTGAAGATCTCTTGTCTATTTTTAAAGTATCATAGAATCATAGAATTGTTGTAGGATTGGAAAGGACCTTGCAGGTCTTCTAGTCCAACCCCCTGCCCAAGGCAAGAGACCTCAAGTAACCCAAGTTGATGGTTATCACTCCATTTTCTAGAAGCAATTTCATGACTCCAGCTATCAGCCATGTAAACCAGTACTGTTTTTTATTTGCCTTAAGTAAATCTCCCATCATCCAACATCAGTGGACAATCCCAAGTTCTTATACCATGAGGGAGAGAGAACATCTTCATTGCTGTTTTCTCTGTATAATGTATATTTGTATATATCTCTATCATCTCCCACATTGCAAGCCCATTTCTAAAGCTGAGCAATCCAAAACAAGAGCCAAAATGAAGTCAAGCCCTATGCAAGAGAATGGAAATGTCTTTTTCTCACAACTGAAAACAGAAGGTGCATAATATATCTAATGTATATCTTATTATGAGATATCACTTTTCTAACTATTGTATTCATCTGAAAAAAATGGTGGTGCCCTAGCAATTTTTTAACGTTTTAAGGAACCACAAACGCTGTAATGGGACAACAACTAAAGCAGGGGTGTCCAACCTTTCACCTTCCCTGGGCCACATTAGAAGATGGTTTGGGCCACACATAAATTTGGTTTGGGCTCTAGCCGTCTTCCGCAGCCCCGCTCCAAGCGCGCTTACTGACAGCAAAGGCTGCCAGCTTCAACTCCGGTGGCTTTATGGGGCCGGGAGGGCGTCCACCTATTGACGGGGATGGCGCAATGCAGTCACACAGCTCCCCTCCCCTCCCGCTCCTTCTTTCCCTCTCCCCCCTTACCGTTGTGACGTGCCCCAGCCGCATTTCGGCCACAAGCGCCGGCAGTGTAACTTGAAACTTTGGAATTTCTTTAAAAATAAAAAATTGCACTGGGCCACATTATGAGCTGACCCGGGCTGCATGTGGCCCTCTGGCCGCAGTTTGGACAAGCCTGAACTAAAGCAATGTCTCTGTTCGCACCATTCTATGAGTTAAGAAGGCCACGTTTCAAGAGGATCAGAAACCAAAAACTGCAGGATTTAGCCCAGATAGCTATGCATAAGGTCTGTGTAGCACCCCACTGCTTGAAATTGCATGTGGAGATAGCAAAGTGGCTTATTTTGTTTAAAGAAGCAAGAAATGACCCATGCACACTGTGGGAAAGTCCATGCATTTTTGACTGACACATTCACTGTCTCAAAATCCAGACATTAAGCACTGGGTTGGGGAAGGAATTTATAAAATTTGGTAGGCTGAAATCAACTTGCCAAGGAAGGACAATACTGTATGTCAGTGAGAGGTGAGATCCTGTTCTTGCATACGTCCTCGGGGCTCTCCCTTATGCTATATGAGATAATGCTGTTGAACTGAGCAGTGCCAGGACTCAGTCACCACCTCTGATAAAGCAACCTCTCCTCTAACATGTGGCTTTTGGCTGCAATTAGGAAGGACATAGGGCCAGGCAGATTTTCTCACTGCCTTTGGCTGAGGCCCTGAGAAGAACAGGAAGCAACAGTCTCTCCATTCCAATGCCATGAGGAAAAAGACAACTATCCATCTGGCTAAAGCTATGTGAAATCAATGTTTGTACATAAAAAAATCACAAAAAAAAATAGCCAACTAATCCATCTAGAAATATTTTGAGCAATTTATCAGCTCCATCTTGGTTTGGAGTTATAGTGGGAGATTGAGGAGGGTATAAATTGGATCATTGCAAATGAGGACAAAAATACTACAAAAAGAGACTATGTTTTCTGGTGGTATCAGTTCATCAATTGTTATGCAAATTCTGTACCTTGAAGTAAAATTATATCTTGCACAAATTACATAATTTATACCATTTGTGCCGGTTACTCAAAATTATAATTGAAATTGCTACAAAATTAGAAGCAAACTCAAAATTACAAACTGCTGCTATATTGAGTGACTGCAAAACTAGTACCTTTTCCCTTTGAAGAGAAAAAAATACACAGAAACAGGGAGCACCAAATGATTGGGTGAGTGTTTTAAATCATGCAAATAATCCAAAAAGGTCCATATATTAAAAAAAGAAGCAGCCATCATCATCAGCATAGTGGTACTGATTCTGACTGATTTTGATACCCTTCTCGTACAGGTGCTTAGTGTGACATCATGTATACAGTGTATGCCTAAATAGTCACAACTAGAGATGGGGGTATTTGTACTGATTTTGATACCCTTCTCGTACAGGTGCTTATTCTGACATCATGTATACAGTATATGCATTTAGTCACAACTAGAGATGGGGGTATTTGTATACAAATATCAATATCCCCACACAGATGGACTTGAATGAGGGTCCAGCCCCTGGGACCAAACCATCCACTTACACATCCAGCAACAGTGGTGGCCTCGCTCATTCTTCCAATAGTGCCCGGAGCACCACACTCTTCCTGCTCAGCTGGCCATTCAGCAGCTATGCTAGGAGCCTTGTCCTCCCTCCCCCTGCCTGGAGTGGCTAGTTGAGTGGGAGGAGAGCGGTGCTCCAGGCATGATTGGAAGAATGAGCAGGGCTGCCACCGGATTTGTGAGTGGACAGTCCAGCCCCAGGGCTGGACCCTCATTAAGTCAAGCTGCGTGGGGATATTCGTATTCATGTATGAATGCGAATACCCCCATCTCTAGTCACAACTGCCAACTCATCGTGGCATCCACTAGTTGGGTTCTGGGTTCAACAGCACTGGCCATTCATATTCATGTATGAATACGAATACCCCCATCTCTAGTCACAACTGCCAACTCATCGTGGCATCCACTAGTTGGGTTCTGGGTTCAACAGCACTGGCTGTCAAACTCAGTGATACTGAATTAAATTTGGAAATAATTATGGACATCTGATGCTGTTACCTGTAACCAACTTATTCTGGCACTATTGAAGCCATTGTGTCATTCCTTTAGCAACATAACACAATAGCTGCCCGCAGCCATTCCTTTTTGGGGGTACAGAATAACAATTCAGGCCGAGCAGAGTATAGGTTAATCTATACAGTAGTTTCTTCTTCTCAGCCCAAAAAGGAAACATTGTGTTTTGGAAGCAGGCAAAGTGGGTTGGTGGAGCAATCACATAGTAATTGGCAGACCTTTCAGTCTTAAGAGCAGAGTGTAAAATTACAAGCATGCTGCAAGGGATCATTCTTTAGGCAGCAAACCACCCCACCCCCCCAGATGACATTTGCAACCTTAATCTGGTATTACCTCTCCAAACAGACATGGCACAGATATCCAACAACAATTTTTGGACTCTTATGTACAACTTTTCTGCATTATCCATGAAGCAGTGGTGTTTAGCCTGATGAAGTGGAATCTTCTTCACAAAAGCTCCCAATTTGTTTGATTATTTTAGTGGTCACCCTATCTTACGTTTATGCAATTTTAAGGACCACATGGACTTTTCCTAATTCTTTTAAAAACAAGTATCCTGTGTTACAAAACCCTTCTGCTTCCTTCCATTTGGTGAGCAGTGTGAGGATAAAGGATGTGTAGCAGCAACATTTCCCATGAAATAGCTAAAGGCCACATTCAGCCAATCTTCTAGAATGTGTTGCTGTTGATCTGGTACAGAAAGTGTGGCCGCAACACTCCCAGGAAAAGTGGTGAAGCATGTCTGGTCCTCCAGAAAGAGTTGCTATTAACACACCTCCTGAATCATGCTGTGTGATATCAGTTAAGCATGTCTGGTCCTCCAGAAAGAGGACCTCCTGAATCATGCTGTGTGATATCAGTCTTTCATATCACTCTCCTAATGGATGGAATTTAAAACAGGAGGGAAGCAGCAGTTCTGCAATGCAGAAATCTTGTTTAAAGAGGTTTAAAAAATGAACTCCACCCACCCACTTCATAATACAAAAGGGTAAATCACAAATAGTGAATCGCAGCTAGTTGAGTAAATGGCTGCATTTTTCATTGGGTTATACAATCAGCACACAATGTGGACTATAGACTGGCAGTTCCTTAACTATCAGAATATGAGATTTACACCACTGCACACATGTCAGCATACATACATAAGTACTATGAATCTGGCCACAGCAAAATTGTTAAGGATTGATTTTGTATCCCTTAACACAGAAGAAAATAATAAAGCACATGAAATATATAAGGACTCAATGTGTCAAAGAGAAATGGTTAAATAGCATGTGGAAAGCTATTAAAGTGCAGGGTGGGAGAGGGATGTGATAGCATAAAAAAAGTTTGAAAAAGTAAGCCTTATAAGGTTTAGGCATAATTAAACATGCACGGAAGCAAGACTTAGGACATGGGGGATAATGTCTGTACATCGAATTTCAGGAACACAAACACAACAAAGTAATAAATAATTAAATGCATAATGATGCAGTTGTATACAACCATACTCTTGTGGAAACTAATTTGTAAGCAAAATGCCATTTTTTTAAAAAAAATCTTTAGAAAGAAGTGTTAAGCATAATATAACTTTAAAAAACAATTACAAGTGAAACTTAAGGACAGAAATAAGCAAGGAAATACGCATTCTTTTTAGCCGTAAATAAATTTCTCCATAAAGGGTTGACTAAAGCACAACTCCAGCTTCCTGGCTGAAATGCAATAAATCTAATAAAACATGGCTCATTACTCACTTCATCAACTTGAGGTTCTTGAGCTTGGGGAGCATTGGGCACAGGGGAATCACAGTCTGGGCTATAATGCTCACAATAGTCATAGGCCGCTCTGGGATCACTGACGATCAGCAGCTGCTGGATATCACCCTGCCAGGAAATACAAGAAGATTATAAATTAGCCACCATTACAAGTCACAACGAGTAATGAAAAAAAAAAGAATCCTTCTTCTGTACCAAACAACTTTGGTTTAGTGAGATGCATCTAACACAGATTTAATTATTCTGCAGCACCCATTAATTTATCGGAGTAATTAATAATTTGTCTTTTTATGGCTTTGACATGGCTGGTTAATGACTTTGTTGTATACAAATAGGTGATTTATCGGGAAATCATTGAGTGGAAAGAGCCAAGCAGCTGCCCATACATACTAACTAATTGCATAAATTCAGAGGTAGGCTGCAAGGGTCTTGTTATGGTTGAGTAGAATCTAATAAATACATGATAACAATGCAATTATTATAATAGCAACAAGGAAAAATAGAGATGAATTTTTGATGGCTGCCCATTTCATAAAGTCAAATAAAGACTCTAAGGAATTATAAGATTTTTAAAGCATTCAAATTTGTCTTAACATTAATGCAAATATTTAATATTTAGGAGTATGAGACACTGAAATTAACCAAAGATAAATGCCTTTCGTTTCAATGGAAAACAAGATGTCAAAAATGTAAAATGCAACATTTTAAAAAGAGCACCAGTTTGCAGTGTGCTTAAGCACGTTTGCTTGCCCTTTTCAGATGTCCTTTCTTCAAACAAGACCATGACCACACAGTTTTTCAAACAGATGACATCTTAAAACAGAAGTTTGTCTTTTGTCTGCCTTTCAAACAGACAACCATACTCGACATATCAACACACTGATGAGAAAGAACCTACCACACTTGTAATGGAATTCATAGGTTTTTAAGAGCATTATTTAGATAGCACAAGGACCTCTATGAAAGATTATTAGAATAATGATAACCGCAACATCGCTTCTCATCCTCTTGAGACTAAAATCAAGTGTGTATAAGAACCCCACCACGAAGAAAATTCCAGCACCCAATACATTTTGAGAAATAAATCATATGCTAAGTTATTTATGTTCATGCATCTTAGAATAGTTTCATTTGACTGGGACAGCCTTCCAGGAAGATCATGCAACTAAACTAGACTAAAATAAAACAAAGTATGCCTAATGACTTTCAGTAACAAAATTAAAAGGGACAGCAGTCTAAATGCTATGTAGTTTTTGAGATAAAGGGAAATGTCCATTGTACTATTGAATAAATTCCATCTCCAGTGAAACTGAAAGAATCTGAGCACACTTGATCCTTTGCTGAACAATATCCTGTATTGTCCTGCTAAGTTGATGCCTCTGTGAGTTTGGTTGCAAGACCTGGCATGCATATCAGGGTTAGAACAGTACTGCTGGAAATCTTGGTTTACTATGTGCAAACAGCAGGCTATAACATTGCCCAAAGGTATCCACTTGCTGCAGGAGCAACTAAAACAAACCACAGACCTTTACTGAGGTGTGGTACCTATTTCTTGTTGAGAAAAAATAAATTAGTAGCTAATAATACAGAGAAATGAAGCTGGGGGCGGGGCGGGGAGAGACACACGCATGTCCTCTTTGGTTTGGTGGCAGAAGAACAAGCCACAACATGAACTGTATGTAGCCAGATTCCTACCTCATGCTAAGCAAACCATAGACCAAGCACAGGTGATGGAGCCTTGCTAGCTAGCATACTGGCATATCCTAGGAATAGCCATATTTGCACAAAACCCTTCCTTATCTATGAATGCACCCTTAGAGAAGCTGGAATTCTTTACAGGCCTTCTTGGCCATTTCCCCCTTCTCCATAGGAAAGTAGCAGAGACAAGTTTCTGAAAGTCTCTTTGCACTCACTACTTAACACTGATGTGATCTGTGCCTTCATAGACCTCTGAGCACACTGGAAGGGTTCGACAGATATACTGTGCTCACACATGTGAGTTGATTAGTTTGCAGTTGAGTCAGCAGCCATTTGGAAGGGTTCGGCAGATATACTGTGCTCACACATGATTAGTTTGCAGTTGAGTCAGCAGCCATTTCCAGAAGCTGTGATCACTGTACTGTAATTGCTGCCACCAATACTCCATGTGTGTTGGGTGCAGGCAATGAGCAGGCTGATGGGCTTTGTGGTGATCACCAGATAATAGGATAGCAAAGAGTCTCTTAGCAATAAATTAAGAAAGTCAGCCACACAGATGGATATCTTCCAGCAGTACTCCTGGTGGGCAATCTAAAGGCACCTAACACTGGGTTCCAGTGGGAGGAGGGAATATTCACAAACTAAGGTGACTGTCTTCTGCCATTGTCTGGCTTCTTCTTCTGACTCCCTGCCCCCAGGAGACTATCCTTTTATTAACATTACAAGGTCATAGGTAGTGACAGCATTACAGATAGTAGACAGGGTTCAGATAGGACAATGGTTACATCATGTTATTAGGGTTGGTCTGGGGAAAGGCAATTAATCAAGCTCTCTGATTGGCCTAAAGAAAGGCCTCTACAGCAAGCTCTTTATGATAATGAGAAAGAGGAGGAATGGTGGCAGCTCCTCCCCTCAGAAGCAGCCACAGGATGCTAGGAGAGTTTTCTCTACAGTACAACACCCATGTGGCTTAGCAACCTTGGGAATGGCACCCCCACACATGTGCTGTCATATGCAAAACTTGCTTTCAATTATTTTTTCCACATAGTCATGGACCCATCATGCAGAAGAACTTAGCAATTTGCACCATCCCTGATGATGTGATGGAACTATAAATCTTAAAAATGAACAACAAACAGAGGGAAATGACACCCAACACAAATTACAGCTATGCAGAAATAACAGATATGTGGATTACATCACAGTCTTCCATGAACTTCAGGACACCGAAATCTGTATTGGACTGGGGCTGGCATTTGCAAATGATCTATTGCATCTTATGCTAGACAGTTATAGACAATTTTTTTAATAGCTGAAAGTGGTCTGATAGAAATTTTGCTTCTCAAGAGGTATAAGTGTTGCTGAAATCAGAGTGATCAAGGGAGGGAGTCCACTAATTGGCTATTTCCCCAGGAAAATGCCCATTTTTCTCCTTCATAGCCACCTGCAATCCCAAAACCTCTTCCAGAACAATGTCATAAGCTGTTCCTTCTTCTGATGACTTCCCGCTTCCTAGGAGTAGGGATGAAAAAGTAATTTGTACTAATGTGAAGTTTTCAATCACAGTGGTTTCCAGCCTTGGGTCCCCAGATATTCTTGGACTACAACTCCCAAAAATCCTGGCCAGCACAGCTAGTGATGAAGGTTTCTGGGAGTTTTAGTCCAAGAACATCCAAGGTAGGGAAGCACTGATCTAGACTACTTCTGGTCTGCAAGACTATTCATGATGGTGTCTATGGAGAACACAAGTATCAGATTCTGTTCTTTTTTCTTTTTGAATCAAGCAAAAATAAATGCATGAAGTAAAAATGTGCATCTTTGAAAAATGTGCACACGCATATTTTGGGCCAGAGTGTACACGGGAGAAGGTACATCTTAAGAAGAATAAATTTTGCAGTTCGGTATGTTAGGAAATGTACATACCAAAACATGCACACAATTCCATGTGAGAGGTGAAAAATTAAGTGCTAAATATTGCTAATATAGCCAATAATGATGAGAAGAAAGTGTAGGTGGGTTTTAGAGAAACACAACAAAACACAGCAAAATCAAGACTGTAACATTTTCAGGCTTGAGACAAGTCCCTGCTCTCTCCTCCTATCTGTTTGTTTTCTTCGTTGTCACTGATTCTTGCACTTAGGACCTAGGGAAGCACTGATCTAGACTACTTCTGGTCTGCAAGACTATTCATGATGGTGTCTATGGAGAACACAAGTATCAGATTCTGTTCTTTTTTCTTTTTGAATCAAGCAAAAATAAATGCATGAAGTAAAAATGTGCATCTTTGAAAAATGTGCACACGCATATTTTGGGCCAGAGTGTACACGGGAGAAGGTACATCTTAAGAAGAATAAATTTTGCAGTTCGGTATGTTAGGAAATGTACATACCAAAACATGCACACAATTCCATGTGAGAGGTGAAAAATTAAGTGCTAAATATTGCTAATATAGCCAATAATGATGAGAAGAAAGTGTAGGTGGGTTTTAGAGAAACACAACAAAACACAGCAAAATCAAGACTGTAACATTTTCATATCTTTGTTGGAACAGAAGGAAATTTTGGGCATGGTAGCACTCCTAAAAGGCACCTAACATCGTTGTCACTGATTCTTGCACTTAGGACCATGAAGTCACATGAGATTCTCCCTCTTCCAGATGGCTGAGGGAGGGAATTGTGTAGCCTGTTCTACTTTATCCTTTTAATACTCTGATAGTAACTGAAGATCAGTTGTTAAGTAAAGATGTTTTTTATTTTCTACTTAAGGATTTTTATATGCAATGTGCCAGTTTCATTGTGACCAAAGGGGCTAGATGGAAGCTGGGATTTTTAGCTATTCTCGTTCACATTTCCCCTGTGCTGTGGTTGTTTGTGTTTTATGCTCCACTAGCTAAAAGGAGTTAACCAAACGTTCCTCCAATAGAAATCCCTTCTGTGCAGCCAAGGAACACTTTCCTTCATGGAACAGCATTCTGAATCCAACTCCATCTATTCTACATTGAAACCATATAAAACTTGCAAGACCTGTTTAATACAAATGAATGTGCTGCGTTGGTACAAACCAAGGACAATAACAGCTTTTTTGAACCTACCTTTAACTTTCTTTTAAAAACCCTATGTCTGTAATATATGCTTCCCCTAATTCCTTAGACGTACTAATGAAATTTCCACTTCACTATTGAGAACAGACTTAGCCCCACTATGACACCAGCAGAGCAATGAAGAAATCAACCTCCATGTTATTATTATGACTCGTTCTGCATTTAATCCTCTTGTTAATCGAGCGCATAGAAGACTAATGCTTTAATCTTATTTTACTTACACTGGTGCAATTGACTCACAGTTATTCCCATTACCCTTTCCTTTTCTCCATTCAGATGTTTTATAATCTAATAATCAACTAGAAGCAAC